TAAAGCTTGACTCGGGTCTAGTGGTCCACAGATGTATGCCGCATTGAAATAGCTACGGATTACGCTTCAAGGTAATGAATGCATGAAGAATGGTCAGTCAAAATCAGTCCCATTTAGGTCACACAATTTCTGGCAATTAATTACGAGATTAAATGTCAAATAAATTACTGCATGATCAGGAAGAAACGGAACGAATGCATCGTTGAGGTAATAGTGGTACTACGATTCACGCCAGAAATAATTATAAGTATCGGCGTTCGTGTGCAAATTTTATAGCGTGCGGAATCTGCGTGAGCAGAATCACATGCCTCAGACGTTTGCGATCATCTTCATTCTGGGAGAACGACTGCCTCCGAATGAAACGCGCGGCCACGTTAGACAAACATGAATGACTGTGGGGCTTACCTGCATGCAAATCCCATTTCCGTACATCACCATTAGTCGAACCAGTGAACAGATGCAGTGTACCGCCACCGTGTTCAGAATACGTTCGGTCTAGAGTGATACAGCATACGACAGCATCATCCAGGGCGTGGTCGATAGGGGGGTTAGTGAGGGTTACAGCAGGACAAGAGATGGAACTTGGCAAATGGGTCAATTTGTAGAGGCGTATGTTCACGGTCTTAGATAAGCCGGGTTGTGGTGGTATGGTAGAGACCAAAAACGGCCAACTCAAAGATAATCTTGGATAAAAATGGATGGAAGGAGGCTTTTGGGCAGTCAATCCGTGCTAAGATGGGCCAATAGAGAGAGATGAGATGAGACAGTAAGAGGTCAGAACAAATACAAAGTAGACAGCGAATGATTAGCAAAGGCGAACAGATCTCTCTAGGGATACACCGCTAGGAAAGCAGGATCTACAAGTAATCAGGGTTGATGGAGGCGACTAATCACACTTATTTTTTTAATTTTTTTTTATTACACACCTAGGTGTGATGAACAGCAGACGGGGTAAACCCCATAGTCACGAGGACCTGCTGTTAAGTGGTTGAAATCGGCAACCTAAACCCCGGAACTTGGAGTGGCGAACCACATAAGGCCCCGATAGGTTAAGCGTGGTATTAAACCGGACGACAGTAGAGCTGCCTACCACCAAAGTCGGGTGGCGGGGCTCGAACCTCGGACCATAGGGTCCAAAGCACGCCGGTGACAGCGACTAAACCACTGCGCCACCACCACCGGTATATGTATATAGNTCAGACGCAAATAATAGTAATACTACTACAAATAATACCTAGCTAACTTTTTGATTCTATTAGTCAAATGCTATTACAATGTACGATTCCTCGATTTCGATGATGGTTTCTGACGCAAGAGTTATAAAGTAACAAGGCTTCCTTAAAAAAACAATTGAGTTAGTTAAGACGATAAGTTAAAGAAAAGATAGAGTTATTGTACCTTTATTTTGCCAATGCTGTACCTGCCCTTCTTTACTTTTGAGCATTGAAGCTAGTCGTTTTTGCATGGAGTATACAAAGTTGACTACCAAATGCATTTATCAGTTCCCCTTAATACATACCACACAATGGTTAATGACTCCCACCGTTCAGGTAGCTAAATGATCATTGTTTCTAACTTTCGAAGGTCAACTTTTACGTTTCCGAGAATATAATTTTAGTTCCTTCCGGACGAGGAATGCTACGCATGTAGTTTGTAGTTATATAATTCACTAATTTATTTAAACTAGAAATTTTTACTTATCGGCTTAATCACTGTGCACTGGATGAAAAGGATAAACTATTTGGAATACGTACATTGGCCAGAATAATCATTTTCATCAAACAGTAACCATTTATTGGTGTACGAGAACTCCTGATGCATGTGTTTATAGGAAGAAGGGAACGCACAATTGGATCTACATAGAGGTTTCACAGCGGAATGATTGAGGATGAATACTCCGATTCCGATAAATGGGGGACCTTCTCTTTAGCGACCAAAAAGTAACACCAATATGACGAATACATTACTGTACTTTACCAGTAGCCCTAGTGTTTTGACCAGCCATCAATTTTAATACATATGGTATCAAAACATTAAAAACATTATACACAGGGGAGAATCGAATAAGCCAGTTCCAAAGTAACTGGGATCTGAGGGCATTACTTCGGGACAAGGATGGACAGGCAATGGTGTTAGGTCTTCTTCAAATTCGTAAATCAGTGTCATGATCAGCGGAGATTGTGGCCCACGTAGACACGAAGAACTACGGTTCCGTTATGGTAACGGGAAATCTGAATTTGAGCATAGAGAGAGGCGAACAATAAAAAGACCTATTACGGAAAGTCGTAATAGATGGAGAGACAGTTAGGCTATCTGAAATAAATTTAGGGCGCTAATGAAAGGTTTGAAGCTGGTTGCAAAGTGAAATAGGAGAAAATGAGGCCACGAAATTACCTCTGACGGAATATCGTACAACAGTGACAATTTCGAAGAGGTTTGCGCTTGGGACTGGGCTACTGATACTGACGAGAATGAGGATTTCGGGTGAGGTGATGACACTGTGGGCCCTTTATTGGTCTCCGATAGGGAAGTGGAATCAAACATGGGCATCAAATCTGCGTCATGGCCAGTTGTGTTCCAGAAATTTGCTGAGGTAAAGGAGCCAGAAAAAGAAGGTTAGAACAAAAATGGATTGAAATGTAGGAAGTGAATTTATTTATCCTTTACTAAAAACCGAAAGACGGAGGGGGGCAACGAGTGGAATAAAGTGATTATGCAATGATCGATAAAAAGCAAAATCAACTTCATCCAATCGATCACGCACCTGGAAATTACGGGAGTCGAGTTGGGCACATCACTAAAAGGGCTTTTACATCCGAAAGCAAGCGGTCTATCTGTGTGCTCTCGGTTTTCGTGTATTTTCTACGCTAAAACGACAGATACAATACGGAGAAACGGAAAACTCCGCATCGCAATCGTACAAAGATGGCAGAAGAAGG